CTGCCCCTGCCCCCAGGAGGGCGGGGCGGGGGAGCCGGAGACGGGAGAGAGGCGGGTGGGGCGGCTCAGAGAGTGTGGGGTCTCTAACCTCGGTTTGTTCATGTAGCTCTTTGATGACAGATGTTTCGAAGCACTGCAGGTGGGCTCTCTTTCTGGGTGCAGCTGTGTGACAGGAGCCCAGTTCTAGAATTCGAGAATAACACCCACAGCTACCCTGCTCTCTGTCCACTACTGGCTTTCTGAGTCCCCAAGGACGACACTTCCTAGTTCCCCGTGCCCTCGTCCCTCTGCAAGGTGGAGAGCTGAGATGCTGTGAGCCTCCGAGTTTCCTCATCCACGTGCACAGAACACCAGCCACGGGCCCTTCGACCTTGGGCAGTAGGGCGCCCGTACCAGTCAGCTACCGCTGTTGCCGAGTGTCCCCAAGGGGCTGCTCACTCGGAGATCTACTGTGCGTAGACCTCTGGGGCTCCTCTGCTGCACAGACCCCCGCTCAGGGTCCACACTGAAGTGGCGCTGCCACCCAGGGCACGTTCTCTCACGTCGGTGGCAGGAGCACACACCTCAGGCCTCTGCCTGTACGTAGTCCCCTCTCGTGGCCGAAGCGAGTTGCGTGGCCCAGCTCAGCGTCAGGGGGCTGGAAAGCTCACGCCTCCCGTGAAGACTGCGTGAGGGGGGTGAGGGGAAACGTTTTTAAAGAATAATCTACCATGTCCCTTCTTCTGTCTGGGCCTCAGCAACCTTTGATTTCAACGACTGGTCAACGAATAGAAGCACACGTCATGCTTAAAGGACAATACCGGACATGTTCTTGATTCGCGAAATGATGCTACAACAGGTTCCTCTCACACTCTGGTTCATTCATTATTTCCTCGATTTGAATATTCCATGGGTCAAATGCCATCTCTGAAACCGAACCACTATAAAGTTCATTCATTATTTGAATGAATATTCAATTTGAATATTCCACGGGTCAAATGCCATCTCTGAAACCGAACCACTATAACTGCTTTGATGCAATCGGCCAGTATATATCCCATTTTGGATCACCAACGCGGTAACGTCTGCACAGAGATACCATCAAAACTGACCCGTGGCACTGGCACTGAGTACTTGCTCCAGCTGTGGTGTCCTCCCTGCATAAATGATTAACGACAAAGGCTCTCCTTATAAATCTGTTCACTTTTCCACGGCCTTCTCAGGTTTTAGAGCTTGCTACTTTTCTCACGGGATTGCATGACGGTTTGCTGAGTTTAATGGCAGGTGAGTTGTGTGTGTTCATTAGCCAAGTAATCACATTTAGGCACCAGTTATGCACGGGGCAGTTGGGGCAGGGAAGTGAAGGCGGCCTAAGCGGTGAGAAGGAGTCCCCAGGGAGCTCGGAGTCTGGCTGGGGGCGCGAGCAGCTCACCCACGTTGAAACACGCCTGCCATGTCGCTGCCACAGTGTATGTATAATTCAAGTCAAACTGTCACTGAGAATACCAGCTCAAATTCCACAGTCGAGCCTATGGAGTAACATGTTTTTGAACATATTTCTCAAACCTAAGATCTCTGAAGCAAATTTGAAATTTTGAAAAACGTTCAGATTTCTGAAACGATGGCTTTAAATCTCTGATCAGCAACGTGTAGGCTTCTGTGCCGTCCCTTTCAGCTGAATTTCTCATCTCATAAAAAGGACTTTTATCAATTTATGGGAGAAGACTAATTTTGTTTGATAAAAGAAAAATAGAAGCCGTAGACAGGACATTCACCTTGCTTTCAGTGTGTGCTTCATTATGAATTTCCCTCACGTCTGACACTATCGCGTTAACAAATCTTTAGATACATCATTTTGGAGTTAAGACAATAATTTGCCTGCAAATTTGACAAAAAGTTCGGTAATGTTGGAGATCCATCAAACAGATGTAATTTGCAACTGCTGTGATCATTTTCAGTAAAATGATCCAATTATACTCCACATAGCTTATTAGGTTCGCTCCCTCGAAAAGATGAAATAGTGTCACGTCGTCAGTAAATAGCTCAAGTTTGCTGTGTGCAACTCAGAGCCTGATTTTGACTGAATTCTGAGGACATCGAGCCCCAACCCGCTAATCACTTACTCGCTCGATCAATACAGAGTGACCCCCGCACTATGCGAGACGCTGGGCTGGGTAGGCGGAGGAGGAAGCAGCAGAACACAGAAAGGAACGAGACAGGCGGGCCTCAGACTCAGCGCCCGCAGTGGCCAGGCCGCTGACACGGGCAGGTGAAGTGACCGCGAGGGCTTGGCGGTCAGGGGGCCGCATGCCCCACTGACTCAGCTCCGGCTGCCTGTCGCCTGGAACAGGAGTCAGGTTATGGGGTGTGGCCAGATCACCTAAACTTTTTAAAGAATTGAGTTACCTGGGCATTTGATGAAATCTCCTGATGTGCAAAACCCGACTGTTGGCTTCTGGGCTACTGGCTGGGACCCTGGTCAGAGACAAAAAGCAGCAGCGCACACAGGTCACTGTGACACAGAGCAGAGTGAGACCAGCAGTGTGATGGGTGTATCTCTAAAGTACCAGGGAAGCCAGAAGATGGCACAGGGCCCCTGAGCCTGGGCTTCGGCAAGCCTCCTCTCTTGTGAGGCGTCTGTAAGCCCGAGGCACTCGCCCCAAGACACGGCAGTTACGTGAAAACGCAGCCAGTTCCGCTGTGTTAAACGTAATGTCAAACCGTGTTTGTAAAATATTATTTTGACTTTCCAGGTTTCGTATTCTGGAGCTCATGATTTCTCTCCCCTCCACTGCCGGCTTCAGGCTCACGGAAACCTTGCAGGGCCCGATGGGGTCAGGAATGGTGTCATAGGTCTGGAAAGGAAAGGGTGTTTCCACCAGCAGAGATGAGCCGAGGGCTTTCCAGAAAGAGGAAACTGTGGGAGAACGTGCTGGAACATTCTGGAAAGAATAACGTATTCAGCCCTGGCCAGGTTAGCGAGGGGTCTGGAAAGAGAGGTAGGAAACACATTGTGGAGACCAGTGTGGCCTTTAGACGATTCGCCACAGCTGTTCCCTTAGAGTGGCCCCTGCCCGGAGGCCTGGGACAGCTTTGGGGAGGGGGATCTAAAACTTGACCTTGACGCGTGAGCCTCAGGGCAGAGCTGGGCTGGAGCCCCCTGGCTGCCTGCACCGCTCTGCTCCGTTTCTCCCGGCTCCTCAGTTCCCCTCCCGCCACCCCGGTCCCCGCGTGTCCCCCTCCTCCGGCCCGGTCTCCCGCGGTCCTGGTGGTCTTGCTCTGTCCGTCCTTCTGAGTCAGCATTTCCTTCGTTATTAAATTTTCTTCTCCCGAAACCCATTTTCAGGTATTTCACAGGAATAAAATTTCTACCACAGAAAGAATCTATTTTACAGGAAGAATTTATTTTGCTGAGAGGGACATCGGAAGCCCACCCCTCTTCAATCCCTCCAGTTTAGAGTGGAGGAAACTGGCTTAGACGGGAAAAGTGACTCGCCGAAGGTCTCCGGACCCAGAGCCAGGTGGGGAGAGAAACTGTGTCCTCCGGTTGTCCCCAGCCGCTTCCCGCACCCGCCCACCCCTTGTGGGTGTGACCCGGGGGTGAAACTGACAGCTGCGCATGGCGGTGTGAGTGTCCCCAGCACCGGGAAGAGACACAGCTGCCCCCGGAGCCGGAACAGTGTCCCCTGAGGCCACCTAGAAGCCCCCCTGGGATCTGCAGTCAGGCTGAGCGGTCCCGGGGTGAACGAGACTGGCCATGGGGTTCTCTCCACGGGTTCCCCGAGTCAGTCTCTTCATTTTCTTCATTTACTCTCTTTTTTTCAACTTTTTCAAATAAGAGTGAATGAAAGCCACTGGTAAGCCACCCTTTTCCTGAGAGGAAATGCCTGACCTGGAAATAATCGTTTTTAAGGCCATCGTCCATCCTTGGAAAAATAGTGATGTCGAACGCAGCCAGGAGCCTCCTCGGCCTCTAGCTCGCTGTAGCGGGGGGTACGGGGGGACACCCCAGGCATCACGGACAAGAGCTCCAGTGCTAGAATGTTCCTCGACAGTCTGTTCACGTCAGCGCAACCCGGACAGAGGTCGTGCTGTGGCTGAACGACGCGGCCGTCAGGTCGCTGCCAACGGACCCGTCTCCCTCACGCAGCTGCCGGTGACTTCGATGCCATCGCGCCCCTTCCTAGAGACCCCCGAGGAGCGAGACACCACGCGCTGGCCCCGCAGGCTCCACCCGAGGGTTTGTCACCATGCTTTCCCCGAGCCGATTCTCTTGTCAAAACCGCAACGCTTTTCACATTCATTTAATCTCGTCCTTAGTTCAGTCCCTAAAACGTGGAAATTACGGCTCAGCTTTGTTCCTCTTCATATTCTTGCAAATGACGTTGTTTTCGTCGAGACTGGCACCAAGGGCTCTCGAGGGGACGGCAGCCAGCACGGACTCGCGACCCCAGAGCGTCACCCTGGGCCTCCGTGGGGAAGATGGGATCTCTCCTCTGCTGCCTCTGCGTTTCTCCAGGAAGACAGAGGGGAGGTCCCCCCTCGTTTGAGTCCGTGCTCCAGCTCCCCATTAAATCATAGCTCTCTCTCTGCTGCTCTACGCCTTTCCACTACCTCCGCCGCCGAAGTCAAAATTACAGGCCTGTCGCTTCCTGGCGTTCATAAATGCCAGCATTACATTTTACCTACGCTCACCCACGGTGACTGCTCTTTGCAGTGGGTGTTTCATCGTCCCACGATGCCTACGATCTCTCCAGCTTGCCATCCCTCTGGGAATACCGACGAATCCCCCCCGTTCCCGCCTGCTTCGTCCTCTGGTTTCTCGGTAGGACGCGGATGTGGCCTGAGGTTCTTTTCTCCTTCTCTTCGGCAAAGGAAGTGGGAAGCATCTCTCACGCACGCCCTTGGCGCTCTCCTTTGACAGGCGAGAGCCTGGCGGGAGAGGCGTCGCCTTTCAGGGTCCCTCCCTCTGGGCCATTTAATCACGTGCTCACACTTGATGACAGCATTTCCGTTCTGAGCCTTTGTCCGTGTTGACTTTAAATCCTGTGACAGCCCTGTGCTCCCATTTTACAGATGGGGAAACCGAGGCAAAGAGGTTGGTGAACTTCCTCGAGATCACACAGGTAGCAAGTGGCACATGCAGACAGAGCAAAAGCAGCCCCGCCCCAGAGCCCACGTACCTGTCAGGGTTTTTTGAGTGACAGGTGACAGAAGCTGAACTCGCATTAGCTGGGCAAAAAGGGGAGGCTTTGTCTCCTGATGAAACCACCCCTTGCAGAGAACAGGAAGGGAGCTGCTGCTCTCTGAGATCACTGAGTCTGGGGCTCGGCCATCCTCACGACTCACTGTGTCTGATTGTCATTGTTCTTTCAGGCTGGCTTTCCCCAGAAGGCTGGAATCAGGGCCACCAATTACTTCTTAGCCGACGACCCCCAGGCCCCAGCTTCACAATGACAAGAAAGCTCTCGACCCCAAGCTCCAGTTAAAGAAAACAAGACTGAACCCCGATGGGCCAGCTTGGGCCAGCATGCCCAGCGCCTGACCAGTCACTGCGGCCTGGCGGGGAGGCCCCAGGAGCGTCCAGCCTGGGTTCCGTGCCCACCCCTGGGGAGTAATTGTGGCTGGCTCCCCGGGAATGAAGCAGCTTCTGGTAAATCACGTTTTAGAGTCATGGAATAAGAGAAAAACCAAACAGTTCCCCAAAGGGTGGGAAACGGCAGTTACGACACGAGAATTTCTGCAAGCCGAACGCTGTCAGGAGTAACAGTTACCTTGGTCACCACGTCTCTCTGAGTTTTGTGGTTTTCCTGAATCAGACGAAATAGACCCACAGGCCTCGCAGCTCGACAGCCGAGCCAGAGCTGAGGACAGGGTTCTCCATTTGGGTGAGTTGGGGACAGTCCACTTTGGCAAGGCCGCCATCGGGCCTGCTTCGCTCCTTTGCGTGGCCTGCCCGGCCCTGTGGGCGTTCGAGTTTGGGGCGGGTGGTTCAGCCATCGGGAGGATCCGCCAGCACCCCCGTTTCCTCCATCATATTTGGCCAACAGCCTGTGAAGGAGGTTGATGCTTTGAAGGAGAAAGAGGCAAGGCAGAGAGTCTGACAGTTAAAAACAAGAGTGTTCTTGACAGACAGGCTTATGAAATTTGACAGAATTTTTCAAGGCGCGGAGAAACAAGTCTGACAGCACGTTTTAAGCAGAGATGCGCCTGCGGCACTTCCGGCGTCAATCACCGCCAGCCTCCGAGTGGGGTGGGAGGCGGGGGACGGGGGGCTGCCTCTCTCCTTTCTTCTTTCCACCCAGGACGCAGCCCGCCCCCTTTCGGTGTTGTGTGAAGGAGGCGAACCCCCTGCCCGCAGTGCTCACTGATTTCCCAGGCGCCCCCATCCCGGCGTTTGCCCGCTGCCCGGGGCTCTGCAGCCCGGGGCTTCGCCGAGTGTGGTCCTGGAGATCGTGCGCTGCGGAGGGCAGGAGGCGCCGTCCAGCGAGGCCCCTGGCGACAGCCCGCCAGGGCTTAGAGAAAAGACTTTCTTTACCCTGAGAGGCTGGGCCAGTAGTGGGGACACAGGAAAGTTTCACACTTCGCATTCGGGGGGCTTCGTTTTCTCCCCATGCAGAGCTGCGAACACGTAAGGAGCCCCCGCGGCGGGGAGGGAGCAGCGAGCCTGTACTGGGAAGGGCCAGGCGAGGGTGTAGGAGGTGGTCGCTTAGGGACGGACCTCACACTGGTCAGGCAGGAATGGCTCGCTCTGTCCCCTGTTGCTGAGCGCCCAGGAGCAGCCGAGTCTCTTGCTTCAATTTTGGTTCCATTATCGTATTTGGGGCGGAGAGCAAACTCAACTGCCAGCGACTGTCGCCTTTTCTGTCTCTTTTGTAATAAAACCCACGTTCGGGCAGTGGACGCAGTTTTCCTGACCGCGCTGCTGCACCTCTGGGCACCATGGTCCCCCGTAGCTGTGTAGTGACACCCTGCACAACTCTGGTGTCATGCGTAAGTTTCCCTCATTTCCCTGAGAGAGAAGAACAGTTCATTGCCCCCTCGTCGCATCTGCAGTAAGAATCAGCTTCAGCTGAGCGTTAGGCTGACATCATCTTGCCAACCCCTCATTTCGATGATATTTTTAAATCAAGAAATCCTGCCCTATCAAATTCAGCTATTGGCCAAAAGTAAAGAAAAATGTGTTTTAACTTTTTTTTTTTTAATTTATAACCTGTGCTCAAGGTTATCCTGAACCTAAGAAGTGATTATCTCTCACATTAGATTAGTTATCCATCCATCTAGCCACCCACCCATTCATCCATCCATCCAGCCATTTAGCAAACATTACTGTGTGCCGCTCCTGAACGGATTCATTACTCTTCCCAGCCGCAAATAATATTTATTCAGATAAAAACATCAGATCCAAAAACTATCTCTTTTATATTTTAATTCATCTCAGGAACTGTATGGCACCAGCTGCGTCACAAAGCGTAGCTACCATGCAGATATGTTTTTCAAACCACCTAAGAAGCAGTCATGAAGCGTATAACTGGACTGTTCTGGAGAGTATTATTCCCAAGTCTTTAAGAGTAATTTTTAGTTGTGGAAGTAAAGTATGGCCATGTTTCTTTAAAAGGAAAAAACAGAAGGAAAGAGGGCGATGAAGAGATGAGCGAGGTGAGCGAACTTTGCAGATACCCCCTCGCCAAGGTCTCTTCGCTCCCCGGGCCCAACCTTGGTCCCCTCCCTTCTCCGTAAAGTCCACCGTTGCTATGAGATGACATTTGTAGGCCTTTTTAGATGCATTTATATAAACACACGATATGATATGATTTATATTAAAATACAAAATATTGTCTCACATTTCTCCATAGGTAAATAAAAACACATGCAGCCCCTGATTTTTTTTTTTTTTAATGGCGAGCAATTTCAGAGATTTCCCGTAGTTTCAGTAGAAGTGAACAGGGTACTTGTATCATTCATTCCTTCCTTTTTGGCATTAATTTGGAAGGGCCTGGTTAAACATCTGTGCTTTGAGTGGCAGCAGGGCCTGGGCCTGAGTCAGAATGTTGGTATGAATTTGGAGAAATGTAATTTGCCCAGATTAATATAAAATCACTCCCTTTTACAGAAAGGCCCACGTTATCGACTGTCCCCGGGGCTTTTCTGTAGGAGGGGCTGGGGATTTGGAAAAGCAGCCTGTGACCACCCCGATGCCCACAGGCTAGCCCCCTCCCGGCGACCCCCTGGCTCTTAGCTCAGCCGTCCTGAATTGGGAGCAGAGAAATCGCCACCCAGGGAAAAACAGCGTGAACGAGAGAGAGACTTACAGCGGGGGCTGTCACTATATCCGGCCCGAGCTGGAGGCGGCGGAGGCGTAAGGACGGCGCCTTCTGTCACGACGATGAGCGGCGGTCGCTGACATCCCTCCGCGCCAGCGTGGATCGATCGCGTACTCGCTTGCGCTTTGTGCCGGTGATACTCGTCGTCGTAAATCCATTTGCCTCATTTTTCACCCTCTGCTCCGACTTCATCGCCAGCTCCGCGCCCCAGCGTGAATTAAGAAAGCGTGAGCATCATCCTTCAACAGCGACACAGCCATAGATTAACACACAGAGAAGTTTCCAAATTGGAAGCCTTTAAAAAATATGTATCTGAGTTATAAATCAGCAGGATTTATAGATACGGTCCAATAGTCTATGTAAACATGAATAATCACGTGTGTTATCCTAAGAATCCACTTTAAATTATTCATCTCTCCAGCAGATTTTTCAATTAACCCAAAATCCTTTCCCTTAAGATGCTTTTGAAAATAATGAATTGTATATGTATTTGGACTTAAAAAAAAAAAACCAGTTTGTGTTTATTATAAAGAATTTAAGCAGTGCTAAATCTACAGAGAAGAAAGTAAAAGAAATACCCAAACCCGACCCCTAGAAATGGGTATCATTAAAAGTAATGTGAATATTTTTTTAATTACAAGAATATTATTGCAAATACCTCTTTCTCTTTTGCATATATACAGGTAGGAGGCCAGATAAATCAAGTAAACTACATTTCTATGAATTGGATGATACCGACGTGTTATTTAAAAAATATAAATTTAATTTTAATTTAGTATGAAGAAATGACATTACGCTAAAAGAATTTATGAATTTCAAGTAAAAGTTAGTATACCTAGAGGTGTCAGTTCCTAGCCTAATTTAGTCTAATGTCCTCGAGGTTCAACCATGTCATTGCACATTCTAGAACTTCCCTCTTTTCAGGGCTGCGTAATAGTCCACTGCGTGCACATACGCCATCTTTCCCAGTCATCCGCCGAAGGGCGTGAGGCTGTTTCCCCATCTTGGCCCTCGTGAATAATGAATGTCGAGGCGCTAGCATCTCTTCAATGTCCTGATCTCAGTGCCTTTGGATAAATACCCAGAAGTGGGGTTGCTGGACGATATGGTTAAGAATGAGCGGATGCAACAGAGAAGAAATCTGTGATCTCGTTTAAGTGCCAGATCCTAAGAGGGATGTGGTAGACTTTTTTTTGAACGAATTGATGTTAAAAGAATTATTTTGACAACTTGGATGAGCTGAAGAAGAGTGACAGAGGGGCCGGAGAGCCACATCATTAGCTCTCAGGACACATGGGGAGTCTGGAGAAGGGGGAGCCACGGGCTCGGAGCTGCCACCACCGCACGCAGATCTCCCCTCCTGCAAACACAGCACAGAGTGGGCACGTCATAAACATTCGTGGGGCGAATGAATTAATTGCTTTATTTGGAAAAGAAGGAACTTATTAACATGCCTCTTCAGAAAGCTTGATGACAGCTAGTAAGCAGAAAAGTTTCCAAGAGCTGCTGTCTTTAGGGGAAGTGGGTGGCATCTGTCAGAGCTGAAGAAAGGAGCTTCTCAAACCTCGGTGTGCTCCTGAGTCACCTGCCGGTCCTCGGGGTGCTCGCCGGTCCTCGGTGTGCTCCTGAGTCACCTGCCGGTCCTCGGTGTGCTCCTGAGTCACCTGCAGGTCCTCGGTGTGCTCCTGAGTCACCTGCAGGTTTTCTCAGCTCTGGGGCGGAGCTGAGATTCTTCATTGTCAACAAGCTTCTGGGTGACGGTGACACGGGAGCTGCCCTTCAGGAGCCTCTCTTTGCATAGGGAGGAGATAGAGATGACCCTCTCAGAGAAGTCGGTGTCAGTAATCACTTTGGGTCCCATTCATCTCTAAGGTCTCTGAGTGCCTGGCCTTCCACAGAAAAGGCAGTCGAGAAACCGGGCAGCGTGTAATTTCCAGACACGCGAATTCATCTCTAGATGTGTGTCAATCCAGAGATGTCTGTGCTGGGAACTGTGAGCAAAGGTGGGGGGATGGGTGGCGGAGTATTTGTCTCCGTACGATCACGAGCAGCTTTGCTGCTGGCTGTGCTCAGAACTCCGCGTGTGCACCACGCTTCACGAACACTCGCTCCGTTCGATGCATTAACGACCCGTCAACCGCTTTACAAGCTGGAAATATGTAACTCGAGCAAAACCCACGACTCTTAAAGCCCAAACCAGATCTCACGTGCCCCAGGGTCTCTCACCATTATGTCTGTTTCTCCGAGTCACCAGCTTTTCATCAGACTGTCCCCCTGACACCCTCCCTCTGTGCCTCCTCTTGGTCCTGGAGGAGATTGTCCTCCAGCCTTGTGAGCGGACCACACTGCCATTCCCCAAGGGCCAGTGAGGAGGCCAGTTTTCCCGAGTTGACAGCTTCCAGGGGCGGGGGGTGGGGAGGAAGAAGGCGGGAGGGAATTGCATTGGTGAGCACCTGCTGCGTGCCAGGCGATGAACCGGGTTCACCCCGCACGCTGTCCCCAACGCTCACCGTACCGTCTTGGAGAGAACGGAGCTTCCTGACACGCATGGGCGTCGGGTGCGTGAGCCCTTCCCAGACGCCCCGTCCCTCTACACGTGGCCTTAACTTCAGCTACGCCCACAAATCTCCCGCTGTCTCTGGGCCCAGGACAGATGCCACAGTGCGCCCGGGTCCGGGCCTCCCGGCTGCGTGCGCAGAACCAGCAGCGACGGCTCCAAGGTTGTGTCCCTCCAGCGCCACCTGCTCCCGGGGGGCGCTGCCGAGGGCTGACGCAGAGGTCCCGCCCCGACTCTGCCCTCACGAACATGGCAGGTCCTCTCCTGGAGCCCCCGGTGCCAAGCCGTAGGAATGCCAGGGCCCGGACCCAACTTCCGTGACGTGAAGACACCGCGACCAACCCCACCGATTCCAGGAGGACCGAGTTTCTGTGCTGCTTTGTGTCAGATTGAAAGGGGCTGAACTCACAAGCAACAATGTGCGTCCTTTGTGGACAAGCGCTCACAGTGGCGAAAAAAAATAAATAAATAAAAAGCTTAAGAATGACAAAATAATAACAACAACAACAATAATAACAATAATAACAACAACAACAACAACAACGCCACCAGGACCTCTGAGCAGCGTGGAGGAAATCGCTCCTCAGCAGGGCCTCCTTTCTCCAGCTTTCACGTTCCGTAGCCGCAGGAGATAGAGCATCGCAGCCGACCCTTTAATTCAGTGTTTTCCCATCCGGTTTCTATTTCCCGGTAAATTAAATAGATGCGTTTGGAGGCATTTCTCGCGTTCCCAGCCCCTGCGAGCTTTGCTGTCAGAAGCCTCTCGACTTCCCTTGCAGGTGTCGGACTCGCGCTCCCCGGAAGCGTCTGTCACACTGTTGAACTCGAGTGGGACGTCCCCGCACGCAGTAGGAGTGGGACACCGCCCGCCGTGCCTCGGGGAGGGTAAACGCCGCGCGGGATTGAACCGAAGCACCCACACTTCCTCATCTTGGTGTCAGCCCCGCGGGGAGTCACAGCATCGGGGGGGGACGGGCTGAGCGCACCCTGCATCCCCGTCCTAGCTGGTCCTCCACGCATCCACGACACTTGCGGGCCGGAGTCCAGCTGTACCCGCGGAAGACCCCTCTCCCCCGAGCGCTGTGCGGGAGACCAAGCCTGAGAGCCTCCCAGCCCGCCCCAGCCACCGCAGCTGTCGACACAAAGCCTGTGGATGGCCCGGAGGGGTCGTTCCGATGGGGCCACCTGGCGGGGCCACCTGTAAGAAAGGAGTCACGCCCTCGCGACATGGGGGCCAAGGGCCAAACACATCCTCTGACATCTCAAAATTATGCACGAACCGAAATAGCCATCGCTTTGTCTTTTTTCCCTTTCTCCTCGCTGTAAACAGCTCTGTCTCGCTCCGACGCCCTGCCCACAGCAGCCCCTAGCGGCGCCGGCCGGATGGTGCGGGGCTGCAGGGGCCCCCAAGGGGAAAGACCCGGGGTTCAGCCTGGTCTAAGTGCCTCCAGACGTCACCACGAGCCGACGACGTCCACCCCACCCTCCCTGCTCACTGATCTAACTCTTATTTCCTAGGGGCTGAGTTAGCTTTCTGGTTTTCAGCACATGCTTGCACACGCGTGTGTGCTCACAGCCACTCTCTGGGGCCGGGGGAGGCGTGGGGTCAAGGAGCCCTTGGGTGCGGAGCTGGAGATTGGCGAGGGGTGGGCGTGAACCGACGCGGCTCTGACGTTTTTGTCCAGAAGAATCAGCCGTCAGCAAGGGAGGGGCGGGCAGACCAGGCCTCGCCAGAGGCTCACCGTTGGCCTTCGCCCTCAGAGCAGCCGTGGCCAGCCCCGGTGACAGCGTGACAGCGGCAGAAGCGTGCCCTCCCTTAAGCCCTCCCCAGGGGGCGGCTCGACAGAACCCTGCTTCCTGCCTGGGACGCCCGCTTACACGATTCTTCCCAAAGAACACCTAAATGCAAAAGCTTGCTGGAGACACCTCCCCGGGGCCGGACGCCCACCCAGGCGACGAACTGATGTAAACGCCGCTTTCCCTGGACGACTCTAACTAGTCGAGTCCCCTGCAATTCCTCTTTCTAGAATCCGAGGCCAGCGGGAAGCAGCAGCCTCCGCCCTGCTGCGTTCTGGGGGAGCAGGCAGGGAGATTCTGGGGGAGCAGGCAGGGAGGGAAAATGGATCTGTGACTATTGAGCACTTAGAGCCGGTGCGTCTTTCACTAACCTTAGCTCACTTCAGACTCACGGAGAGAAACCAGCAGGAGAATAAGCCTGAGGGGCCGGGGAGCAACGGCCCTTAGCTCCTGACCCCACCTTGACACGCTCTGCAGAGGTTTAAACGGATTCAAACACAGCTGGAACGCAGGCGGGCGGTGTTGATGTCGGTTAATGTATTCCAATAAAGTTGGCAGAGGGGGTCTTTGAATTAAGCTGAAGAAGGTAAAAAAACAGCCCTTATACTTCCTGTGTTAAAATTTAACAGCATGTGCCAGGCAATTCTCTCAGGGCTGATTACAAAATCTCGGATGTTAAACCCGAGGGAAAAGCCCACAGCTCTGGATCCCGGGGGGCGGGGGAGAATGTCAGGGGACAGTAGATCCCTTCAGCCACGTGTGACCCTGGACTTGGCGTGGCATGCCGCTTGGCTGTTTGAAGGGTGTATGTCAGAGCAGGCAGGCTGCGCGCTCGGGTTAACCAAGCCGCGATCAGGAGCCAGGACCTTCTCAAGGGACCTGAGCCACCTTCCTCCGTGGCCCCTCCCAAGCCCCAAGATGTCACACGCCTGGACCGTTGGCACCTCTCTACCTGCCAGCAGCCCGCATTCCCTGAAACAGCTTTGGGGAAGCTCGCCATGTTGAGTGCCCTCTGACCTCCCAGGTCCACGAACCTCCTTAGCCCGCCCTGCAGTGACCTGCTACCTTCACAGAGCTCCAAGACCTGGCTCCACGTCACTCACATCTCCTCCTGTCACTCAAACCGGCCCCCGGCAAGTCCCGGTGCTCCCCAGTGTTCGGGAGGGACATCGAGAGGCACCAACTCCCCTTCGTCTGTTCCACGAACATCCGTGCAGTGCCTGCCACCTACCAGGCCGTCTCCTGCACTGGGGACACGGCAGCGAACACAGCAGACGGAAGTCCCTGCTCTTGGGGACCGAGAGTCTAGTGCAGGGATTGGCAGACGTTTTCTGTAGAGGACCAGATAGCAAATATTTTAGGCTTTGCAGGCCAGCTGGTGTTTGCAGTAACCGCTCAGCTCTTTGCCGTGGCTCGAAGCAGCCACGGGTGACTCATTAAACACAACGAGGCCAATAAAACTTTATTTACAAAACCGGGGTGTAAGAGGGAGGAGTTTGAACCCCGCTTCGTGGATTAACAGCACCTCCAATTTTCCTTTGAGCAAACTCCCTTCTCTACTCCCAGTTCCCGTGTGGGTGGGCCGCAGCCCATTCCTCGGGTGGCCCCGTGACCCAGCTCGGAGAAGGTCATGGTGATGGTCTCAGGGACGCGCTCAAGACCAGCAAGCTTGGGCCCGACTCGTTCTCGAACCCCTTTTTACTGTACGCGCGTTCCCCGGAATGCTCGTCCACCTCCAGGAGTTTCCGCTGTCGCCTCTGTGTAGATGACCTTCCTGTCTCTATCCCGGGCCTAAATTTAGCTCTGGGCCCACGCTACCTACCGCCTACCACACACTTCTGTAGATATCTCAGAAAGCATGCCTCAGTGCGCCCCAAACTCAGCTCATTGCAAAACCTCAGCCCTCCAGACATCTCCTGTGCTCCATAACG